ACTTCTGTAATATGCCCAGTGCCCTGGGAGCTTCATTTCCTCTTAGCCCTTCTCCACGTCTTCCAGACTCCCACCCGCCAAGCACCCGATGCTGCAGGAAGCTTGCGGATAACCACGGAGGCCCGCGGCATCACTGCATCCACAGGAGGGGCTGGAGGAGAGGCAGGACCCCCTAGCAGAGGGCTCCTGGGTTGTGCAAGGACTGGGGGCTGCTCCCCCGGGAACGGCAGGAAGTGTCCCCCAAACCACCTGCTTCCACGAGCAGGTTTTGGTTCTGCTGGATTAGTATCTGCCTTCGAAAAGCCCGTTTCCTTTGCAATTCCTCACCCCTTCTACCAACGGCCCCTCGGCCCCAGGCAGTTCAGGGGTGCTCGTTGTCTTCACCTGCAGGGTCATCAGGAGCAGGGAGAGTTGCACAGGGAGACCTGGGGCGAGGAAGGGACAAGCCCTTTTCTCCTGGAGCAGCTCTGGGAATGCAGCTGGAGCTGGGGTACAAGGCAGAGAGGAGATGTGCCCAGGGTCACGCAGGGAGCCAGTGGCAGAGCCAGGGATGATTGCATGTGTCCCAACAACGGCACATCTCCCGAGCCCCCCAGGCCTGCTCCTTGGTCTGTCTCGCATACTTAAGCTGTGACCTTGCACCACAGCTCCCAGTCTGTCCAGTGCCTTCTCCAAAAAGCAATGGTGTGACAGCCGCTGACATAGCCGCTGCATGGCCGGCATGGATAGAAACCCCCGCAGCCCCCACCCTGCTGCGTCTATATTATATAATATCCTTCTTTAAATGTATCCCTGTAATACGCGGAGAGGTGGCGAGCAAACAGCAGTGACCGATGCGAGGGGCTGATTGCCTGCATGCAGCTGCTGAAAGGGGTCGCGACATCCTAAGTGCTCGTCAGAATGAGGGATGACAGTCTGAGACAATGAGACACTTCCTTTTCCTCCTCTCTGGCTGCTAATAAGTGCTCGGGAGCCCAGGGCCGCTGGGCTTTTTCCTCTCTGCCTCTCTTGTTTGTTTTCTCTCTCCCCCTTTTCTGTTTTCCCTTTGGCTGCTGAGGCTGTTTGTGTTGGATCCCATGCAGTTACCACTGAAAATTTAATTAGGCACTTGGAAGCAAACCCACATGAGCCCTTTGCTGGAATTCAGGCTCCAAGAGCATCCCCCACCGCCCCAGCCCAGCCCAGCCCGGCAATCCTACCCTCCCTGTGCCCTGCCCGGGGGAACGAGGGACCTCCCTTGGTCCAAAACTGCTCACACCCAGCTGCAAGGGGTCTGTGTCCTCTTCCCCTGCTGGGGGACCTGCGGGGAGTCAGGAGGGACCCGAGTGCCCATCTAGGCCAGGAGTTCCCCGCTGCTGCAGCATCCCTGGGCTGTGTGTTCAGAATGGGGGATGCAGGTTTAGGGCACCTGAATTTGCCCCAGGGGCAGCTTCAAGCTGTACTTGGCTCTTCCCTCATCTCCCACCACTGAAGGCATCAAAGCACTTCGTGGGCCTCGTTTCATTAACCCCACGTGGGGTAGGGCGGGTGAACCCTCAACCCCTGCTCTAGCCGCTGAGCCCACCTTCCTTGCCTACAGCTATGCAAAGTATCTGCAAAGACTGGCTCCCCATCTAACCCTGTGGCTTGCAAGAGAGGGATGCTAGCATTACAGATGCACCAGATCTCACTCCTCTGCCTTTTCAACCAGAGGACCCCCATCCATGTCTCCCCTACCTTCCCCTGTCCTGCAGCCATCGGATCTCTTTCCTCCAATTCATGTTCACGTACTGTACGAGCCTTGCAAATAGGAAATTACACGCCGCCTTAATTGGATTCTCCTTCAGGTGCTCTAAAAGCTTGCCATGACACTGAAGGAGTTGCTCTTGCCTCAAAGCTGGATTCAAAGCCCAGGTCCCCGTGGAGCCTTGTCCCCTCTTGAGCACCTGTTTTCAGATCTATGCCAGACCAGAGCACCATTTCTGTCAGAGCGACCTAAGGACCTTCTGGGATTGGGCCAATTCTTGTCTGTTCAAATGTGCTGAAAACAAGCAAAATAAAAAAAAAAATGTATCTGATCGGCAGCTTTCCGACCAGACACTGAAGAACATCATGAGAGTCTGACTTGTCCTGGATTCTCTGTTACAAGAGAGCCCTGATTGTCAGAACAACAAAGGAAAAAGAAAATCAAATGAAAAAACTCCACTTGCAAATCGAGCGTAGGGGCAGAGGTTGCCCCAACTCAGCCCAGCGCCCCTCGGCTCCCAGGCAGGATGACCAGCAGGTAGGACAGGTGCAAAGACACGGTCCTTAGCAGGCGAGGCAGCGAGTCCGGCTGGGGAAAGAGCCAGCGCAGAGCTGCCTACGACATCCGTGCTGGCTCAGGACAAAGTGGGGAGCGGAGACAGATCCATCTCCTGGGGACCCGGTGTGGGCTTTGTGTGCAAATAGCTGCTGGCAACCAGACAGTGCCCGGGGATGGAACAGGCTGCCTTTTCCAGGAAGAAAGCAATACGAGCTAATCTCTGGGACGCCTCCTTCCCCCTGCCTTGGGTCTATTTACTCACAAGGCTCGGGAGGGATGGGGCCAGAGCTAGCCAAGCCCCTGATATGGCAGTCAAGGACACATTGCCCTTCATGTAGGGGGCAATCATGGGCCATGTTTGAGGACTTCCATATGTACCACCTCTCCCTGCCCAGTGGGACAGGACATTGGCTCCGGTGCCTTTTACCAGTGGTTCAAATTCCCAAGGAGCTTCGGAGAATGGGTGGAAAATAGCAGCGCTACTTTGGATCTCGACTGGTTCCTGAAGGCTCAGTGCCTCTTGCGGGTGCCCGCAGGCTTGCTCAAAAGGTGACCTAGACCCAGCCCCAAACCAATGCAAGAGGATGAAGGGCTGCGCTTACAGCATCTCGTCCCCAAAGTTTTGCTTCCTCGCCTCGCTTCCGATGCCTTTCAGAAACAGGCTTTATCTGACTTTGAAGGTCTCATTCTGGGGACATCTCCTTAAAAAATTTTTTTTTTCCAGAAATCTGCGCCATCTT